AACAAGTTTTATTGATCACAAGCACATGGAATAAACACAGGAACTGGTTCAGGTGTGTCGAAGGCTCAGCTCAGGAGGATCCATGGCGGACTCTGCTGGAGAAAGGTGGAACTTCTCCAGCTCCCAACAGCCTCAGGAAATTTGTGTTGTTGGATTGATGCAGTTCTTGCCTGGTGGGTTGTGATCTAGAAACCACTAGCTTTAACTGTGCATTAGGAAGTTTAACGTCATCCTTAAACAAGTGCCTTCATTACAAGTAAAAAAAAGACAGCTGTATTCATTAAATGAGAAAGGTTTCAAGAATGAATGAGAAAACATTTCAGGCCCTGAAGAGCAAATGTTAGACAATATGAAAAATATCTGACGACATAAGAATCGAAATAGGTCATTATTAATAAACCTTTATTGTTCATTTCTGATGAACAGTTGCATTGTAAACCTGTAAGCTCAAAGTGTTTTTATAAGCATATATATACAACGACCATATAAGTCCTGGTTTTTAATATCATATCTAAAAACTTTGATGCATTTAATCAGGATTGCTTGTTATAGATCAACAAAAGTACAACTTAATTATGCAGTTTAAGGAAATAACAACGTTTTCTCAGTTTACGAAAGAAAATCTGAAATGTGTTTTCTTCCCTGTTCAATGTGATAGCAACGGAGAATATCCAGCACAGTCAATTGCATACAGACATCATATAATTAGTAAGTGCATTCCACATACAGTATGACTTATTTAATCTCAAGAATAATGCAGCTGTTTTGTGAAGCCCTGTTATTCAGAGAAGCAGCCAAGGGAGCTGGTTTTTTTGGAACACAAATCTAAACTTAAAAAAAAAAAGAAATCCACCAGATCCCCTGCTTACAGTTTGTAACAGCCCATTTAAAGGACACATCAATCATGATGAGGCTCCAGCCACACAACTAAACTTTAACCTACTATTGCAATCAACACATCCATCCATATTAAACACGCTGGTGGCAGCGTCATGCTGCAGGGAAGCTTTCATATCTCAGTAGGGTTGGGGCTGATGTAAAGAAGAATGGAGTTAAATACAAGCAGAACTTGGAATAAAATCTGTTAAAGGCTGCAGACTGAAGGCTGACCTTTCAACAGGACAAGATCCCTCAACTTACAGTCAAGCAGTGGTGTAATGGCTTGTATCAGACTCACTCATATGCTGGAATGGCCAAGTCTAGACCAAATTCCAGTAAAAATTCTTTGATTCTACGAGAATCTAAAGATTGGCTTGCTTTCCTTCCAAATGGGAAAAAGCTAATTTACTTTGTGCAAAACCTTTTGTAAGTGAATGTTTAGTAGTTGGACATAACCCAATAAACGTTAGCATGTGTGAATGCAGCTTTAGGTGATGCTACAAAGTGTTTGTATGGAAATGCACACCACACATCCTTAGTTTTACTTGTACCACCTAAATATGCACAACTTGTTGTTGCAGTGAAATCACAAGGAATTTTTTCTTAAGATAAATGTTTAAAAGTTCAGGGTGTTAATACTTACTCAAGACACTGTAAAGATGTATTTCTAACTATTCTAACAATTTAAAGTTTAAAAGTATCAAAGAGTTCTTCCAAATATCAAACCTTCGAAAAATATAAATACATTTTCAAGTTTTAACCAAAATGTATCATTTTAAGCACAAAATATCTCATTTGTATATTCTCTCTCTCCCTCTCTCTACTTTTATGTTTTTTAAATTTCCTTGTAGAAGATGTTTTTGCATATAAGCCAACAAAGTCTGTGAACTAGCCTTGTTCTATTCGAGCTACAGGCTCAGTCCTCAGATTTGTCGTGTGAGTGGTTGAACATTAAAAGAGCCAGATAGTTCAGTGGAAAGCTGGAAAAGATCAAATGCAGCTGAAAGATGCTACATTAAAGACGTGCGAGGAGTCTGACATCTAACTTCAAACAACTGATTTGAGTATTCAGAAAATATCTGAGCTACTTTAAAAATAAGGCGTTTGGAAACGCCTGTTTGGGGGGAAAAAAACTCACCATGAGAAGAAGCACAGAAAAAGGCATTTTGCAATATGATATCTTCAGTTTATGATATTTTAATAAAAAATGTAATGTAGAGATACTTTCTATTTGTGGGGAGTGCTTTGAGTAAGTTGAAAGTGTCTCCCGTAAATATCTGCTGCTGCCTTTACATCGAACTTTCCTTTTTCATCTGACAGACCAGCTGAGAAGCCGGCTGAAGGAGTACGGCCTGGTGATGCCCTTTAGCACCGACTCCCACGGACACTACCTGTCCCACCTGCTCTCGGCCACTCACAAGCAGCGTGTAAGGAGAGAGGCCTTCTCCTCTGAATCAGAGCAGAAACTGTTCTTTAACATCACAGCCTTTGGAAAGGAGTTCCATCTGCGGCTGCGGCCGAATGACAGGCTGGTGGCGCCCGGAGCAATGGTGGAGTGGCACGACGAGGTTCAGGGATTTGGAAACATCAGCGACAGCTATGGTGGAAACTCTACTGTTGGCGCCAACCAGACTGACACCACGGAGAGGATACTCCAGCGGGAGCTGCTGAAGACAGACTGCACATTTATTGGTGACATCACTGACGTCCCTGGAGCCACGGTTGCCATTAACAACTGTGATGGACTGGTAAGTCCTTCCCTGCTGTAAAGTCTGTTACCCCCCCAGTCCCCTAAACTCCTTTCTTATCTTTACAAAGTACCATGACCTTATCAAGAACCTTTAGGGATTTGGGGCGTCTCTAACTCTGAAGTTTATCCATTCTTTACGTCAGCACTTGACATTTTTATAGCATATTGTTATTTTGGAGATACCTTTCTAACTGGCAGGTTTTTTTAACGGGTGAGTGCTCATCCATCGCTGTGACAAACACAGCCTCTCCTCCAGACCTCTTCCCAGCATAAAACATGGCTTTCTTTTGTGTCTGACAAAGGTCTCCTTCCTATCTACCCTCGTAAAACATTTGAATGGTAATCTGGGAACAACTGGGGCCAAAACGTCTTGGAGTGAACTACGTTCCTCTCCACGTTTGAGAGGAAAATTGGCTCAAGTTCCCAGCCTTAGGCGGAAAAGTCTCACAAAGGTTGTGTTTGTTTATTGGTTGACAGTGAAATTCATGTCAAAGAAAAGCAGTCATAGAAAAAGATATCAAAACATATATATTTTTTCTTTTTTCTTAAACTTTATTACCTGAATAATACATTATAAAAACAAATGTGGTCTCAGCTCTGAATATTTTTTAAGACTTAGGCTTGAATTTGACATCCTCAACCTGCAGTATGTAGACTGAAAATAAAGCAAACAGGTCTGTAGTAGTATTTTCTGTGTATAAATAAGAATATTCTGCTTTTATTTTCTGGTTCTACATTAGAACTCTGTAGAGTCCTACAGCAGGCATTGTTGGCAGGCTTTGAAAAAAATAGGCTTTTCTCATGAATTATGACTGAACTTAAAGTGAAACTCAGCCCTTGCCAAAATTTTCCACTTAGTTTTAAAGGGAAATAGGAAGGGCAGCTAAAAGTTGTTTTAGTATTTTTTTTCTATTTTATTCTTAGCTTTATGTTTCCTAAAATTTGTTTTGGGGTGAATCTATATATGTATTTTTTTTCTTTAAGCATTTCATACGTATTTTTGAAAACAAATGGAGCTATCCATTCCCCTTTTTTTGTGGCACAGCTTCTCATTCAAAATGAATATTTAAATACTCTGCCATTGATTTCAGCTTTTAGTTTTTCCTTCTCTGGTTTTAGTAGGTGTTTGGTTTACATTTTTCTTTCAACCATGTGAAGTAATTATTAACTTAGCAACTTTGCACATCAGTTAATTATTGATTAGAATCAATGTTGCTTGCAATGTTTTGCATTACCTAGTCTGCTAATGAGAAAGATAGAAGGAGAGAATAAGATCCAGTTGTGAATATTTTATGAGTTTATTGACATTTTTCACATTGCTAACAGAATTGTAACCTTGTGTTTGGAGTTCGATGTCAAATATACAAGAAATATACATGAAAACTAGCATTAAATTAGTGGTTTAGACCAAGAGAAAAGACGTAGTTGTTTATGTGGCCCATTTGGGAAATATTTTCCCGCCCCTGCCTTATATTAAATTTCTTCTCACAGCATTGTAGGTCTTACACTAATCTCTAATTAACTGGCAGGAGTTTTATGTTCCTGAAAACAAATCCGTTATAAACACCGAAACTAAAACATTCACCTCAGGACAAGAGCTGTAGCTACTGTGACATCTTGTTAGCAGGAATCATTTATCAATGGTTTTCCTTTTCTCTGGGAAGCATTTGAAGTCTCTGCACAGAGACAGTTGCACCAGAGTTTATTTTTACAAGTCACATCCTCCATAGAATTCCATCTGACTCATCCTAATATTAGAGGCTGGGTAGCACCTTTGGTTAAGATATTTAAAATAAAAATACTACTTGTTTTGTTTTGCCTTAGATAAAATTTAGATGTTATACTAAAACTTGGTATTTACCCATAAATAATTATTAAAGTTTGCAGGATAAAATATGTCATCACCTGTATGATGGAGTCGTGGAAAGCATTAAGTACACTTCATGATTCATCAACTTGCAGATCCAGCTTTAGCAGCCGTAAATCTGTTAGTAGTTGTTTTTTCTCACACTTTATTAGTATCTCACATCACCGTACAAGAATTGTGGCCCACTCCTATTCATTGCTTCATTCAATAAGGTATGCAGACACTGGTTTTCACACATCTTTCTTAAGGCCCACCAAAGTATTCATACCTGGCAGTGGTCTGGACCATAAATTGTCAATTCATTTCCAGTTGTTCAGACATTGCATGTTTGCTGCTGTATTTGGCATGATTGTTCAGTAGTGACTCAGTCTGTGCCAAAGTGATTTGAATTCATTTGACTTTAAATACCTTTTTGGGTGTGGGAATTCATGATCGTCTCACTGACTGTGAGATTCCCAGGCTTTTTGGCTACAAGCCTATATCACTACCATTATTATGTTGGTCTCATTTTCTATCATCTATACTGTTGATATACTTTACTACCATATTAAGTAATTTTTTTCAGAGTTTAATATTTTTCCAAGTAACTTGCAATGATTCTAGCAGCTTTTTTGTCTTGTTTGAGACTTTTGTGACAAGCTTGCATCACTGCAAGAGCAAAGCTTCCACTGTTTTCACCCTCTTTGATAAAATAGGATGTAAATATGATGTCATCCTTAACATATATAATATTTTTTTTCTGACACTTTTGCACTTAACTGTAATTGATTCACACACAGCCTCTCATCTCATCAGCACTGGGTCACTTAGCTACAGTGACCTTGGGTTAAATTATATATTATATAAAAAAATGTATATATATCTAGCGTTAGTTCAGGTATAATATAAATAAATATTGAGCTTATAATTTTTTTAGTTATATTTTTTAAATCCCTTGTCTTACTATACTACAATTTGAAAACGTAGTATTTAAGATGTTATATGTTAGCCTATCTAATGGTATGTATGTGGTGTGTTATTGGTTGATGTACATATATATATATAAAAAAACAACAACTGTTTTCTCACCCCTCGTGGGGTGGTATGTGTCATCCTCAAGCTCGGGTCCTCTACCAGAGGCCTGGGAGTTTGAGGGTTCTGCGCAGTATCTTAGCTGTTCCTAGGACTGCGCTCTTCTGGACAGAGACCTCTGATGTTTTACCTGGAATCTGCTGTAGCCGCTCTCTCAGTTTGGGGGTCACAGCCCCCAGTGCTCCAATTACCACTGGCACCACTGCTGCTCTTACTTTCCACATCTTTTCTAGCTCCTCTTTCAGCCCTTGGTATTTCTCAAGCTTCTCGTGTTCTTTCTTCTTGATGTTGCTGTCGCTTGGGATTGCCACATCTATCATTACTGCCTTCTTCTGCTGTTTGTCGATCAACACGATGTCTGGTTGGTTAGCCATCACCTGTTTGTCAGTCTGGATCTTGAAGTCCCATAGGATCTTAGCTCGGTCATTCTCAACTACCTTAGGAGGTGTCTTCCATTTTGACCTTGGGACTTCCAGCCCATACTCATGGCAGATCTTCCTGTACACTATGACAGCTACCTGGTTGTGGCGTTCCATGTATGCACTTCCTGCCTGCATTTTACACCCTGCTGTTATGTGCTGTATTGTTTCAGAGGCATCTTTGCACAGTCTGCACCGGGGGTCCTGCCTGGTGTGGTAGACCCCGGCCTCTATTGATCTTGTACTGAGTGCCTGTTCTTGTGCTGCCATGATTAGTGCCTCTGTGCTGTCCTTCAGTCCAGCCTTTTCCAGCCACTGGTAGGATTTTTTGATATCAGCCACTTCAATCATATCAGCCATATATCAGTCATCATCAGCTGGCTGATATACATATATATATATATATATATATATGTGTGTGTATGTCTGTGTGTGTGTATTGTGTATAGTACTGATAAGGAAACCGATAAAATACCAGATCGATATGGAGTATTGTTCACATTCGATTTATCAGTATCGATAAATCCTTAATGATACTCAATATTTATAAATTAAAACAGCTCCCAATTAGGGCAGATCAATAATTCAATATCAGTATTTATCAATAACTATGATAAGATATTGGAACACATTTCGGGTACTTGGTTTCATACCAGTTATTTGATTACATGGAGCATTACAGTAATTGATAAAGCTTTGATTGGGGACGTGTTGTCCTCTGCATTTGCTTTTAGGTCACTCATCCCAGTTTGATATCTTGGCTTTTCAAAATGGCCTTTCAACCCTGACCAGATGGATGGGCAGCAGCCATTGCTTCTCTATGGTCATTGCTGACACTTTCACATCATTTTAACAAACTCCTGTATTTTCCAGCTAAATACCTCAAAATTGTTTTTACAATAAAGTAATAACTATTTTGTACAGTTTCTTGATACAGTTTCTTGGCATGGCTTGACTGCTGTTTACGGATTTTAGCTTTGAAAGCCTCAAGGTTGTATTTGCTACAATGCATGATGACATATTTTAGCATCATTCAGGCTTTCAAGGCACTTTTTTAAAAACTTAATTGAAAGCTGGATAAGTAAATTTCCAAGGATTCTCCGTTGGCATTCAGGGACTCTAAAACAGGAGCTCTTACGTCTAACGGAGGATCTGTGAGTTATGTTGTACTTTTCTTTTAACTGTGTAGGATCATACTGTTCATAAAAGTCCAGGAGGGAGAGGTTTTCAGCCCACCTGTCACCTTGGTGGCAGATTGTACCAGACACAGCAGCTTGCATTTTACGTCTACAGAGACACTGGTTTTCTCTGAGGATGTACAGAGTATTCACACCTGTCTGTGTTTTGAAGTGTAGCTATCACAGCTACATGTCAGAACTGAGGTGAGTGAAGTTGTTATAACACCCCCTCAGGATCACCAAAAAGAAAGACACAGCAGTAATGAAAATGCAGAAACTCAGATATATTTGATGCAAAATGTACCCATTATTGAAAATATTATAGAGGAGTCCAGCTTTCTTTAAAATTCTTAAATCCAAGTTTGCACAAACCTTACCTTGATTTAATTAATTACAAAATATGTAAACTGTCCAAAAACAGTGACAGCCAACAATAGCCTATATAAAGTAAGGTTTGGTTACT